ATTTTGATGGAGATTGTATATGATTAAAATAACTTTGAAGCGTGCCATTATTTGCCACAATTAGTCTATAATTTTCATTACAGTAGTGTCTTCCAAGTATCTAAGTTTTTGGGTTTTTTGGGGGGATGGGTTATGTGGGCGGCATGTGGAATGGAGGAGTGTGTCACCGGTGGCTCCCACTCATGAGTGTATTATATATATTGTGGAGTCATGATCACCATAATCAGCCAAGATGCTACTGTATACTCCATAAAAGTGCACAGGTAGCTACCATTTAAATCCTAAACCAGTATCCTGATTGCCCTGAATGTTGTGTGTCTGTACAGCCTTCTAGAAGAATTTAGGTTCCAATTACATGGTGTTTTTACCCATAAACTTCAAATGCCTGAAAGTGGGACAACTTTAGAATATTTCTCCTTGTTAAAATTAATTGGGAGGCCAGGCTGTATAAGTTCTAAAATATTGCTGTGTATTAGCTTTCTATTTTTTGGTTTTTTTTTTTCCTTTTTTTTAAATTAATGCTTTTTCTGTGGAGTTGTATGCAAAACATATTTGGAAAAAAAAGTTGCTGTTTGGGAAAATATTGGGGTTTTTGTTTGTTTGTTTGTTTTCCCAGAAAACAGGAGAAAAATATAAAAAAGTGCTTTTGTCTTTCTTTAGGTTATCTGGATTTTTTTCTCATTTTTTTCACTGCAAATACCTTCTGACTTCAGAATTTATATAATAGTCTGCAAAATGTATTTATGTACAGTTGGTTATAGGTGACAGCTTCATTGATCTAAAAGCTCATTCAGCAAACCTGAGTAAGTCTTCAGCTTGTATAAAACTTGTGTTTGTGATTTTCATTAAACCTCACAGTTAAAAAAAGAACAGTAGGAAAACATAAGCTGGCTTTGGTTCAGAAACTAGCTATGTTGGTTTAAAACCATAAACAAATTTGGTCAGAAACTCAGGATATTACAATGAATAGTAAAGGATGGACCCATCTTCATCCTTTGCCTTCAGTAGATGGAGGTATGTGGTACAGGTGGTGCCATGGGACATGGATGGGTGTTCCTCTGGAAGAAGTGGGATTCAGTGGAAATGGTGACTGCCTGGAGTCATGGGGTGTATTTCGGCTGTGTCTGCAGAGCCATCCTTTCTCTGCTGTCCTTGCCAACAGGGTGTGTGTTCTTGCGGAGCGATGTGTAATCTTCTCCACCAGAACATGGAAGCATGACTTCAAGAAGGTTTTAGTCTTTAGAAAAAAAAAGAAGTGTGTTGCCTATCCAAAGTTAAATGGTTGCATGTGGGAGAAAAATGCTCAAATGTTTTCTTGAAAGTCTGAAGCTAAAATGGGGAATACAGTGCAACTGGGGAGAAGTCAAGCCGATGATGATCTGTTCCCTTTGCTCTTGCAGCTGGAAAGGTTGAGAATGAGCATGTTGATTTAAAAGTGGTTTGTGGATATGGCTTGTTTTTTCTTTTATTTATTTGAATGTTAAATACTGCTGAGGAGTGCAGTGTGAGCACATGGGTGAAAGAAGCATTGCTATAAAAGTTTGTCAGTGTTATAATCTTAGGTTCTGCTTCAGTGTGAATGGCTTAGAACTTCGGTGAAGATGAAACTTAGTGCTAGAGGAAATAAATTTATCTTAATTTATTGGATCTTAATTAAGATCCATTAAATGAATCTTAAGGGCAGAAGATGCCTTTCATGTCTCTACAACTCTTGGCATGCAGGTGACCTGTTCTCTGTGTGAACATTTACGTTCAGTTTAATAAAGTGAATAATAACAATAAGCTCATATGCCCTTTTCTAATGCTGAAGGGCAGTTGTGAGGGTCTCTGAGAAAACTCTGAGTGTGTCCTACTTTCTCAGAGTATGGACAGGTCTTGGGAGAGCTCTGTCCGTGCCCTGACTCCTGTCAACTCCTCCTCTGAGTCGGTGTGCTGGGAGCTCCCAGCGCATAGTAGCAATTAATCTTAACTATTGGCTTAAGAGCTGGAAGAGGGAGTCCAAGTGAGATGTTCTTTGTGGATCCCTGGTGGGAGAGCATGCAGAACTCCTTAAAAGCAGAGCTGGAAGCAGCCTAGCCAATAACAATTCAACTATAAAGTGGAGGTCTTTATTTTCAGCCAAGATTGTGGAATTTGTCCTGTTTCTATCAAGGCCCAAAGTTGAGTCTGCAAGGAGCTCATTAACATCCTGTCCAGATCCATTCAGAGTCAGGTGCAGAGCTCAACACACCAAGGCCATTTTGGGAGTTCTGGAGACTGTCTGCATCATGCATGCAACGAGCCTAGTCTTGATGTGCTGGGGATATGCATATTCTGCATATGACTACATCAGATGGGCATCGTGTCAGATATATTGTGCATTACCTTCCTCCTATCTTTCCAAGCACGGGCATTGTCATTTAAGTATAAACTTGCTTGAACTTCTCCGTAAATTCACAAGCATCTCACTGATGTAAATGATTCTGATATTGCCAAATCCTTTTCTTATGAATGTGAGAGTCATGCTGAGTTTGCTATTTTGTTGGGAAATCTTAGGTTTTCTCTTGGCAGCTTAGTATAAAGGTATAGTTGCTGCCCAACAACAGTGTTTGCATTACTGAGAAGAATGGACATTGGATGCATTGACAGGTTTTCACTCTGTTTTTGCTTTCCGTGCATCAGATATTCAGCCTACTTACTGAAAAGATACAGTTTATTTGAAATGGTTAAAATTTTGAAATAGCATTACAAGTTTATGCATGTAAGCTAGCAATTACAATGTCTTATATGCAAACAATTTTTTTCATACCCGTCATAACTCATACCATTTGCACCTTAGAAAGGCCTTGAATTATAGGAGAAAAAAGGAAAAAGAAAGAGACAGAAATGGCAATACTGGATCTAGGAGCACAAGAATCTGATATTAAATCTTTAAGTTCTGCCTTGCCATGTTACAACAAGATCCAGTCTGGGCAAGTGCTGGGGTGCACTTGTCTAAAGCTCATGACAGATTTACATCCTGTCCCTTCCCAGCCCTCATGGACTCATGACACCACCCGCGTTTCCTTTAAAGATCCTCCCATGTAGCAGATGAGTGTTCTGTAGCTCTTGTAAATCTGTGGTCTGGAGTCTGCAATCTAGAGAGAGGCATTCTGAATCCTGCATGGTTTCATGCCAATGCTCTGGTTTCATTCAGACAGCCCTTTCTGAAAGCAAGGCTCATGTGTGCAGGCGAAGATCTGTGCTGGCAATGGCCGGGGGCAGTTGTGCAGCACTGCAGAGTAAATTCATTGTGGGTCACTGATTCTTTTCTTGCTCCCTGATGGACCCAAAGGTACTGGTACTGTATACCTCTCTTGCAATTTAATATTTTCTCTAATAATCATACTTCTTAAAGTAAATAGGCAGAACAGATTTAGTTGGAAGGATTCCGAAACTGTGGAGGCAGTGTACAGCAGAAATTATATGGAGGTGAACTTTGAAAGAAGTTAATATAATATATTGGTAGGTTTTAATTGAAACACATGCATTTAATATAAAGGGAAAGCTTTAGGAAACTATAGTGATAAAATACTTACTTGCAGATGGATTGATTATTAGGCCTGGTTTTGCAAAATCTAGAAAACTGCAACAACTCCTGCAAAAGAAACAGAGATATCCTTATGTCCACAGCAGCCTTGGAAATCACCTGAAATATATGTAAGAATTAGGAGACAAGGGGATGACAGTTAAGACCTTTAGTATGGGTCTTCTAATTATTGTCTCCTTTTTCATGAGGAATATCAATTAAAGGGTTTATTCTTGTTCTGGCTCAGAACACAACCTTTCTTTTAGGTCTGAGATTCAATATATTGTCTGCCTCTCTTGTCCTCCACATCTGAGCAGAGTTCTGAGTTTCTACTCTCACCAGTTTTATCCACCATTATCTTGTGATTTTTACATGTTTCTTAACAAATTGGCTCATAAATTGGAATTCCAAATAAAACTTAACTTTAGTATTCAATCCTGAGTATTGCAATGGTCAGGAAGATGCTTTACATGAGCCTTGGTGGCAGAGTGTGCCTGTAAAGGTGGTTGGGATTTTTTTCCTCCTTTTCCTCAGTCTAGTATGAGGTGTCAATGTAAAGTTTATTTTCCTCTTACTGCAAACAATCCACACGTTGATGCCTGATAGAAAAAAGAATGCTCTCAAGGTTGCTGTGTTTTTCATATGTATACACTGTGGGTGTCTCTGGCTTGAAAGTTTTGTTTGTTTTTAAACGTGGGCCAAGTCAAACCTTGCGGTTTAGTAGCAGTGTGTATTGTGTGTGTAGAGATGATAGGAAAGAGGTCTTATTCCAGGGTTCCTTCCTCAGTAGTATCCTTGTCTCTTGTGGCTTGTTTGCTCTGTGGATGAGTTATCTGTGAACTTTTTTTCTTATTTAAATAACTTTTTAAGTACTCCAACTTACCTGAAGCAGAGGTTATATATGTGCAAATACAGTGCCATTATTCTAGGCCTCTGGGATATTATTGCTCTACAAATATATGGAGGCTAATAGAAATGGCTGTTTCGTGATGTACCATATACTGTTTGTTACTTTGGGGCTATAAAACTTGATTTGCTTGTCAGTCTAACCATACTAGTACACAGTAAACAACCCATGTAATAAATCAAGGTGCCATGCACTCACCACAGAAGTAATTTTCAAACAAAATATATATTGTGTTAAGTTAGGAGAATATGTGCTAAATATCCCCATTATAAATCACAAGTCAGAATCACAGAAGAGTAATTAGTCAACTTGTGGGTATTTTTCCACTTTTATTGCCCTGTAAAAGTAAACAGTTATTTTTCATTTCTTTATCATTGTTGGTTACAACAAGATCTGTTGACTTGGGGTTTACCTAGAGCGGTAACTTTTCCTGTTGTTGATACTTTCAGGTTTCTAATTGTATTCCTATAGAACAGAAAAACGAGATAAGACATTTATTTATTTTTCACTTTCCTCCACCATCCCCTATTTCCCATCTTTTCACAGAATATCTCCATGCATAACACAGTTGGAGGAGCAATGGCAGGACCTGGATCTCACCAGCTGGCAAATACAAGGATGCCAAACCACGACACCAGCGTTGTGATTCAACAAGCCATGCCATCTCCACAGTCTAGTTCAGTCATTACGCAAGCACCTTCCACAAATCGACAGATTGGGTAAGTCCATTTCCATTTCCTCATTTCTCCAGTCCCCTGGCTCCAGCAGCTGCATGCAGGACCAGATGTTGTCCTTGTGGTTCTTAAGGTTCAGC